GTAGGTGTGGTGATTAATTAATTTATGGTGGAATTTCCCTGTGCACACAAAGCCAGTTAATCGGGTATGGCTATGTCGGGTTTGCTCATCAATCTAAGAAATTTGGTGTGCATTTTCATTAAGATCTATACCAACATACGTTTTACAAATTAGGTTTTAATACCCCTCTGCTCATGTGCGCTGGGTTGTAAAAGTTCCCAGTTTATGTATTACTAATAACAATAATTATAATTTTTCTTTTAATTTATGTGCTTTTTATAAGCGTAAAACACAAAATAATTTTTACAATTGGTGGTTGGTTCCAAATTCGGACAAACTAGACAACTTAATCAGATTTTGTTTTTAATTGGATTAACGATTAATAATTAAAATTGATTAATCGTAATCGCCGATAGCGATTAACGATTAAAAAATGTAATCATTAATCATACAGTTGATTACGATTAATTAATTTTAATTGTCAATCGCGATTAACATTTTAATCGTTAATCAGATTAACATTTTGCCAACACTGGTCAATAGGTACGTTCATTTAAAATCTCCAGTAAAAAAATCCCAATAGCGAAATTCCGGCGAAATGTCATCTGTTCTCTCGCAAGAGAAAAATATTCAAAATAGTACGCGAACAGAAAATTTTCAGAAACTTGCAAGTTAGGCGAACAGCTGATAGATATTTTGTTTACATTCAAAAGTATAAATTTGAAAACATAAGGAAACCAATCCCGAATTCTTATCCTGACACAGTTCACTGACTAAACGAATAATTGAGTAGTCCACTTGCAAACAGCGTTATGTGATTTTATAATAGTAAGCCGTAAATTAAAAAAAAAACGTCTACAACAACAAGTAACATCCAAATTTTATATTTCTCTTTATTATCTGAAAATTTGGATAAACAAGAGCCTAATAACATTAAAAAACAAAATCGCAGTGTGGAAGTTTTTGCAAATTTTATATATAAAAATTTAGTATAGCGATTTTTGAAATAGTAGCTTTTAGATAGCTATATTTTTTTAGCTTTTCGCGTTCTCTCTTCCATGAAGATTTGTCTGCTTCTTTTTTACGACGCCTTCCACTAGGCACCGAAACTACCACGTTTTCTTGNTTCTTTTTTTTTAAGACGTCTTCCACTAGGCACCGAGACTACCACGTTTTCTTGCAGTTTTCTAAGTTCATCAGAAGATGGAGACTTTTGAACTTGTATAAATACGTACAATAAATATTATAGCGCTTTTGAAAGTGTATACAGGGTGTCCCAGAAGTAACGAGCCAAACTTTAGGGCATGGTAGGTGGGGGGGTGAGCTCACTGATAAACGAAAAATTTTCAGGTAAAAGTGTCACCGTTTTTGAAATATTTACATTTTTTCGAATTTAAAAAAAATCGTGCCTTTTCATGTGTTTTCTTTAACTGCAACTACAAACCGGGCAATACTTAGTAAATTTTTTATGTAAAATACTTCCAGATAGTTGCCTCTCCATACTCAAATGCAATGTAGTTAAAATAAATTAAGGAACCATCATAAAATTAGGACTATTTCTGGATTTTTAACTTTTTGATATTTTCTTCCCCAACTTTGACTATCTCGGGTGAAAAAAAAATGTACTGAGCTATAACTTTACATTACATAAAAAAATTGCTCATTTAATAAAGATTTCAGAAAGGTGCCACACTTACTGTTTTGAATAAAAAAAAAAAGTTATAGCCGCTTTTGTGGGTAAAGGACTGAGACACGCTAGAATGTATTTAATAGATTTAAATTGAATTTGCTCTTGTTACCGTCAAATGACATGCTAAATAGTACAAAGGTACATTATTACCTGCTCCTGACATTATTTTGTGTTACTTACCGGAATTAGTGAAAGTGGATTTTGTGAAATTGGACCCTTCGAACATTGTGTTATTAATACTATGACAGAGAACACGCAGTATACGTCGCATGAATATGCGGATATTCACCTAATTTACGGTGAAGCTTGCTGTAATGCCAGAGCTGCTCAAAGACTCTATGCAGAGCGATACCCCAATCGTCGACATCCGGGTCGAGAAGTATTCGCCCGGACCCATAGAGAAATATATGAAGGTAAGTGATTTTTACACCTTTCTTGTTTGCTTGCTTGTTAACTATAATTTTTCACTTTTTTAAGGTCGCATACCTGGAAGGCGTGGCGGCGAAACAGGACGTCCTGCAACGGTAGATGTTGAAGCTGTGTTAGAGGAAGTGGAACTAGCTCCATCGACTTCAGTGAGAATGATGGAAAGACGGACGGGAATACCAAAAACTACAGTTCACAAAGCTTTAAAAGACCATCGATTTCATCCCTACCACATTCAACGTGTTCAGGCTCTACAGGAAAGAGATTACCTGTCGAAGGTTAGATTTTGCCGTGAAATGTTGCGAATGCATGAATCAGACCCCAACTTTTTTAATAAAATAATTTGGAGCGATGAATCATCATGCAAACGTGATGGTTATTTTAATTTACATAACCTTCACAGTTGGCAGATAGACAATCCTCACGAAATGAGAGAAGATCGTTCGCAGTACCGGTACAAAATAAATTTATGGTGCGGTATTTTTAATTGTCAGATATTGGGACCTGTGGAACTGCCGCCAACGCTCAACTCTCACAGTTATTTAGAGTTCCTTCAGGAACGGCTTCCAACTCTTTTGGAAGATGTACCCTTAAACCTGCGGCGAAGACTATGGCTGCAAAATGACGGGTGCCCTGCTCACTACGGGCGTGAAGTAAGAGCTCATTTAGACGAAACTTATCCTCGCCGATGGATTGGACGATACGGGCCAATCACGTGGCCCGCTCGATCGCCAGACCTGAATCCATTAGATTTTTTCTACTGGGGCTGTCTTAAGGACAAAATTTATTCAAAAACAATTCAAAACGAAGAGCATTTGCGGGAACAAATAAATGGAGCTGCTGCTGAGATAGCCCAATTGAGTTTAAGATCTCTAAAAGCGTCTTTTCTTAAAAGGTGCCGAGCTTGTATTAGAGTAGAAGGTCGCCAATTTGAGCATATTTTATCAATAAATGAATAAATTTTTCTTCAAACAACTCATGTATATCTTATTTCACGTGAACCCATCCTTCACACAAAATATTGATAGATATAGCCCTTGTTATAGACTCTAGTACGAATTCCGGTAAGTAACACAAAATAATGTCAGGAGCAGGTAATAATGTACCTTTGTACTATTTAGCATGTCATTTGACGGTAACAAGAGCAAATTCAATTTAAATCTATTAAATACATTCTAGCGTGTCTCAGTCCTTTACCCACAAAAGCGGCTATAACTTTTTTTTTCTATTCAAAACAGTAAGTGTGGCACCTTTCTGAAATCTTTATTAAATGAGCAATTTTTTTATGTAATGTAAAGTTATAGCTCAGTACTTTTTTTTTCACCCGAGATAGTCAAAGTTGGGGAAGAAAATATCAAAAAGTTAAAAATCCAGAAATAGTCCTAATTTTATGATGGTTCCTTAATTTATTTTAACTACATTGCATTTGAGTATGGAGAGGCAACTATCTGGAAGTATTTTACATAAAAAATTTACTAAGTATTGCCCGGTTTGTAGTTGCAGTTAAAGAAAACACATGAAAAGGCACGATATTTTTTAAATTCGAAAAAATGTAAATATTTCAAAAACGGTGACACTTTTACCTGAAAATTTTTTGTTTATCAGTGAGCTCACCCCCCCCACCTACCTTGCCCTAAAGTTTGGCACGTTACTTCTGGGACACCCTGTATACATACAGTAAGTATTATAGCGACTTTTGCTAGAGTAGCTAACATTTGATGCTATTTTTTCAGAATATATAAGGATTTTGCACTGTATTGGTAGTGGACATGAAACTTCTTTAAATACTGGTACGTTAACCACCAAAAACTAAAAATCGAAAAAAATTTACATAGCGCACTTTGCAAGGGGACTACTCAATTACTTACTTCTTGCAAGTTTAATTAGTCGCATTTTACTATTTTAACATCCAAACCATCAAATTCAAGTTAGGGATTTGCGTAAATTCCAAACAGCTGTTTTCTTGTTGGAAAATTGTTGTTGGCAAAAAATTTTCCAGCAGAAACTAGCAGCTTTCCCTCTAAATAAAATGTCATTTTTCCCTCAGAATTTCCCTACTTTGCCAGTTTTTTGTGTACGCGAACACCAAAAGCTGATAGTTTCTATAACTTTCAATAAGTATCAGGTGCAACTAATTGTGAACGGTATTTTGACTTTACGAATTTCATTGTAGAGTACAAAACCTCACAGTTATACGTTCTACTAAAAATTTAAAATATACGGCACACAGCTGTTTTCAACAGCGGATATTTTAAATCTGGTACTTGTTGCCGGAATTCAAGCAATGACAGAGCTTTGCATTTCCAGTCAGTGTTGCGGCGCCGTCCCAAGAAAATGTATCACCGACCAAGCCAAAAATGTATCCAAATGTATCCAATTTTCTTTTTTTATACGTATCCATCTCATAATTTGTAAGAAAACCAAACATTTTGGAGAAAAATACATAATTTAACCCATCCTAAGCACTTGGAATACGTGTATATATATTTTTATATTTCATAAAATCAAACATTTGTAATTTCAATTTATAAATAACATCTTTTATACATAAGTATTTTGCAAAGTAAGGGATCAAAAATAGTAATTAATATGTTACATTTGTACCTGTACACTCTGTTAAAGCTCTTATTACACTGCTTTGGTGAGATCTCTATTTATGTTCATTGCTTCATTCACAAAAAATAAAATGCTCTAATTTCACGCTTAACACCATGTTCTGATCGACATCGAAAACATGTTTTCGTTGCTAAAACTGGTTTTCGACCTAAAACTTGTGTTTTCGTCAATGTAAAATCTGTCAAACGAAAACAAGTTTTCGCTGAAAACCACTTGAAAACTCACGATCCACTCATTCCAATCGGTGTCTGCACTAGTTTTTTTCGATTATTTATCGAAGTGGAAGTCATATTTTATCATCTTTAATACGCCGTTTCGGATTTATTGTTAATTGGCTGACCAAAATAAAATAAGCATGGAAGTAAAAGGTTGTTAATGAAAAGAAATTGAAGGAAAATTATTTTGGTTTTGTATTTGTGCAGCAAAACTGTAAACAAAGAATGTAAGAAATGTCAACGAAAACACCAACAGTCGGTGTGAATAGCCTTCAGCCCACAATCCCAAAACTCGTTTTCAAGGTGTTTTCGTTGTCGGTCAGAACATTGTATAAGTAGCGAATTTTATACCATTTAGAAAACGTCATTAATGAAAATCTATTTTTGAACGAAAAAAAAACTTTATAGAAAATATAAAATTTTGGCCTATTTAAAAAAGAATCCACATTTATACTGATAGGAAAAAATAAGCATCCCGCAAAAATTCGTCTAAAAATTTATCCAATTGGATCTATTTAGATCCAAACGGCATCCCTGTTTCCAGTGCCTTATTTTCTTGTAATTCTAAAAACTCCAACTCTCTTCGCTTTTCTTAAAAAGGACTATTTCGGATATTGTAAATTCATCCTCAATTGTTACATAAAAAAAGGGTTTTTGAAGTATGCACAGATACATTTAAATAATTTCAAATCGCCAATTCTTTTTTCAAAATCTGCTTTTAAATCATGTGCAAATTTTTTTCTAGCCATGAAATATTCTTTTTTTTTGAGATCATGAATATAAAGACGTAGTTTAGCTTCAAAACTTTAAATAATTTTCGACAAATCAAAAACATTTTTACTCTCTTCTTGTACAGAAAATTTAAGTTTTGAAAATATTCAATCATATCGGTAAAGAACATTAAGTCAGAAAGCCAATTTTCATACTCCAATTTCGGGAAATATTCCGATCCCAATTTGCGTATGTGTACATAAAAAGAATAAAATAAAAAAAAACACAATGGAAAAGGATGTCCAGCAAAGAAATATGTATTTTAAAAAGTAAAAAGATCCAAAGTGTTCTAGGCAAAGAAAAAGTAAAAAGAGCCGCACTTTGCTAAGCAAAGAGCCGAATTTGGCTCAAAGAGCCGCGATTGCCCACCGTTGGTATAGACCAGCGGTCGGCAGGCCATAGTTCACTGAGCGCTCTCTGAGCACATGCAGTCATCGGACTTCTACTACATTGTAGATCTGCCACTTTTTTGAGCATCTACCACACAAGATCTGAAATCTACCACATATTCGCGTTTTTGAGTAGTTTTATTTTTGCTCGACATAATTTTCTTAATTTTAAGAGAAAAAATTGTCCAACACTAAACACTAATAACAGGCAGAATGGGAGGATGAAATAAACTATAAAATAGTAAATTTTCTCAATATTAAATTTTTCAACAGAAAACGGGGTTTTATTGCGTTAAATTGCAAAATATATGAGTGCATCTAGAGTTTCTAAAGCGTTGTTTACTTTTACTTGAGAATTGTCAAAATCGGCAAATCGCAAGTACCGGTTTCTGGAACATGCCACGTTTATTCGCTACATCGTCGTGTGATAAAAAGAAAAGCTGGCAGCATTCCGCAAGGTTGCAGAAATCTTTCAAAATGTGTTCAAAAAATATCTTGATATGGAAGGAACTGTTTTACACTGTCAAGGAAAACTCCAAAACCAAACTCAACGCAATTTTTAGCATCTTCAATCTTGCACTTTATTATACTAAAATGAATGTTTTTTAGATTCTAATTAAAATGTTTGTAATTTAGGTGAAACGTTGCAGAACTTTTTTCATTTTTGTACAAAGTTTTATCCAAAACCTGAGATCTACCACATTTTTTTGATATCTACACATTTTTTTCCAGATTCTACCACACAAATTTTTTTTAAGTCCGACCACTGAGCACTTGTGTGTTTCACACGTATACGAAGAGCGGCAGCTTAGCAGCCCCGTAGCGAAAACGGTCGATGATGACAATGAATATAATGCCAAACAAGTGACATGGCTGAGTGTCATGCAGCCGTCACTTGCCAGTCATCGAAACAGGCCGATTGCTTTTCCTCTATCTTCTGTTCGTGTTTACTTCGGTTCTACGTTTCGTTTTGTTCGTTATTTTCTATTTAAATTGCGATAGTAAACAAAAAGAAATCAGAGTAGGCTTTGCTTTTTGCTTTGTTTTCGCCATTCATTCGCTCATTTAGTGAGAAATATTTCAATGCAGTGCCACCACTTCGAGTTTGCTCCAGTTATTTTCAGGTAAATTATGGAAATTCGCGCATATATTTTGCTTTTCACGAAAATAACATACATTTCATCTTATATTTTAGCGTTTTTCAGATTATACAGTGTTTATTTGTTTGCAAGTTTGCTACGAAAATTGTGCTGCTGCGGTTTCAAGGTAGCTTTTGGAATTTTGTGGAAATGTTCAATATTTAACAACACCACGCCTTTCTTTTTATAGTTGACCAGTCTCTGAGCGTCCGGGTGTGAACAATTTATGTATATTTAGTTACCTGCATTTCAACATTTTGCAAGTTTGCTGCTGCGGTTTCAAGGTAAATAAAATGATTAGTTTCAAAATATCACTTCGAAGGGAGATAGCGAAGGAAAAAAGGAGTACCTTTCAAGGCTTCATCGGCAGCCACATGTAGCTGATGAACTTGAGGAACAGGTTGCTGTTGAGGCAGCAACAGAAGACATAGAGGTCAGAAATGACATTAGGAACGAGTTGAGAGATTTATTTTTAAAATATCATGTAAGCAGGAATTTTGGTAGTGATTTACTTTCAATCTTGAGAGGGAACGGGTTAGATTTGCCAAAAAGTTGTGACACTCTTCTAAGGAAAAAGAGGAAAGATATTGTTATCCGAACAGGAAATCCAGGAGAATATTACCACTTCGGTATAAAGAACCAACTTTTAAAACTAAATGGCATTTTGAATACGATAGATACATTAGCTTTTGATGTAGGAGTAGATGGCCTACCGCTATTTGAAATCTCCAAAAAAGGGTTGTGGCCAATATTATGGAAAATAGTAAATATAGATGAAGTTTCGGTATTTATTATTGGTGTTTATTTTGGTTCGGGGAAACCTATATGCGTTAACACATTTTTTCATGATTTTGTTTCCGAGATGAAATACCTGCTCAGGGAAGGTATAAATTGTAACGGAAGGAATGTAGCTATAAATTTGAGGGCATTTATTTGTGATGCCCCTGCTAGAGCATTTTGCGCTGCTACAGTAGGGCATAACGCGTTTCACGGATGCAGCCGTTGTTTACAAGTTGGTAGTATAGTAAATGGCGTAACAGTTTATAGTGCTGAAGTTGCTGCCCCTAGAACTGATGAAAGTTTTAGTAGCAGAATGTATCCTGAATTTCACAACGTCAGATTTAGAATTGGAAGAAATATGCACGCGAATGATTACTCAATTTCCAATAGAAGGCATGCATCTAATTGATTTAGGTGTAGTGAGAAAAATAGTAACTGAAATAGTAAAACTGATGACGCAAATAAATAGAGATACCCTTTCAAATATATTGCTAAGTTCAGTAGGCTATATCCCTAAGGAGTTCGGGCGAGTGCCCAGATCCTTACACGAGTTACCTCGGTGGAAAGCGATTGAATTTCGTCAGTTTATTTTGTACACAGGCCCCGTTGTTTTGAAAGATTTGGTTAATGGTGAAATCTACTATCATTTTCTGTTATTGCATTGCGCCTACAGACTTCCGCTCTGCCCAGTTAATTTTAGAGCAAATTTAACTAGCACACAAAGCTTTGTAAAATTTTTCCCTAATCTTTACGGGCAAAGTGCACTTATATATAATGTACATAACTTACTGCACTTTGTTGATTGCGTTGAGGAATATGGTATTCCAAGTAGCCTCGCCGCCTATCCTTTTGAAAACTATATGCAGGAAATAAAGAAAGCCATTAGGAAGCCGCACAAGGTGCTAAAACATTTAAGAAATGTGTTTGAAAAGAGGTCTTTACAAACTTAAAAGAAAACGAACGTGAAAATGTACAGAATTAATAAGATGAATATTTTCTTGAGTTATTGTTCTCCTAATAACTACTGCATGATAACAGATGCAAATATGAGGGTTTTTATAAGAATAACAAAAACTGATGAAAAAGTTGTAAAGGGCGTAAGATTTTAAACGTGTTATTTCATCACATTGTGGTTTTTTATAACTAATAATGAAGAAAGACAGGAAGAATACGTATATACCGTTGATCAAATATCCTGCAAAGTTATGATCTTACCATATAAGCAAATGCTTGTCTTATGTGCAATATTATATTCATGTATTTAAAATCATTATTTTATTATAGTAAAATGGTCAATCTAGCTCGAGAATTATCGGAACTTAATCAAAAAGTGGATAACTTAAACCAGACAATGGACATAATTTTGAAAAAATCAAGAAGATCTGGCAGGAATATTAGGAGAAAACAATGTCCTCTTTAGGAGATGTCTACTTTCAGACAATTCTCATAATATTCAGTTCCCCATAAAAGATGAGAATAAATTAATAGAACTCAATAACTTGCTAAGCGGAGAGAAAAGATAAAATATTGTAAGTTTTTTGCTGACAGAAGAAATGCGTAAATTTATATTTATTTTCTTCCGGTAGATCAAAGAAATGAAACGAGTCCTTTGCGGCAACTTGAAAAGGAACTTAAAATCATTTCCACATTTTCTCAGTGGTTTGTATGGTAAGCTATTCATACATATGTTTATTTGGATTTAAGAAAAATTACCTGTAGTCAGTCCTTTTTTAGAAACCACAACAGAATATAGCTATTCCGAATTCGTAGCAGAGCTCCGCTTAGCATTTAAACGTCAGAAAAATAAGGTTATTAAACGAAATTCCCTCTCAAAACGTAAATAAAGCAGATTTTAGTTTTCCTAATTGCGTTGATTTAAAATCCATACTTACCCCATATTTAATTACAGACCTCTATTAGAGTCATAATCATAATCATTTAATGAAATGTTAAAAATCACAGAATGTGAACTTTATTATTTTTTTTTACGAAAGAGTCGTTGCCTAACAAAACTTTGTGTACCTGAAAAATACAAATTTTTTAAATCACACAACCTAACTGTATTTAGTCAATGTGCGCATAAATATATACAGTGGCGGTCAAAAATGGATGAATGGTGTTTCGTTTTTAATATTTACGATGTAAACGTAACATTCGTTTTTAATATTTACATTCATCCATTTTTGACCGCCACTATATGAAAAAAATACTTATTTTATTCAAAAACGACTGAACGGTAGATCAAAGAAATGAAACGAGTCCTTTGCGGCAACTTGAAAAGGAACTTAAAATCATTTCCACATTTTCTCAGTGGTTTGTATGGTAAGCTATACAGATGTTTATTTGGCTCTAAGAAAAATCACCTATAGTCAGTCCTTTTTTAGAAACCACAACAGAATAAAGCTATTCCGAAATCGTAGCAGAGCTTCGCTTAGCATTCAAACGTCAGAAAAATAAGGTTATTAAACGAAATTCCCGTAAATAAAGCAGACAAAAACGACTGAACGTTTATATGTATAAGAAATGAAAAACTTATTTTATTCAAAAATAAATGTATGTTTATATAAAAAAACATAATTTTTTATGAAAAATATGTGAACTTCATTTTTTTTATAAAATAATATTACTTAACAAAAATATGTGAACCTGAAAAATAAAAATGTTTAAAACCACAAAATGTAACTGTAGCCATGTATGTAGTAGATTCCAAAGATTTCTTTTTAATATTTTAATTAAAAGTTAACAAAACTTAATTTATTTTTTTTATGTTGTTAACAACTCGAGAAAAGTTTGAATAATGAAAATTTTCTATTTGATTGACGAACCACAAAAATCACATAAATCTAAAATTTCCAAAATTACAAAGTTGAAATGAACACAGTACAATAAAAGGTAATAACACAAATACAAACCCTACAATACTCCCCCTTCTAGAGAATTAATGTTATATAAATTAAA